TCACCTGCTAAAATTACCTACTGCTATAACATCAAAGACAGATTGATCCACCAAAAAATAAATATCCTTTTCTCTGCTGTCATTCTATGAAATTAAAGTTTGTTTTTTATGGTAACATCCAACAGGCACAGCATACCTGTCAGATCTGTGAAGGAAAGAAAGTATGCTATGTTTCCTGATTAGTTTGCCAGCTAAGAAACATCTCTCGATTGCTTATCAAAATATACTGAGTAGAGGTGAAACTTCTTCAACAGAATATTCTCATAGCCTCTTGTAATGAGATGGGCTTCTTGTAACACAACATGCATCAACAGTGCTTCAATGCTGAAGGCCATGAACAAGTTTAGCAGTCCTTGTTTAACCTCAGTCTTTAGCCAATGTAACTAACCAAAGAGCTATAATTGCTTTACTGGTATTGTATAGTAAAAAAAAAACATGCTTGGGTGAAGGTGAGGACTATGATGGCTTGTCCAATGAACCCTTGGCCCATCTCAGTTTTGATGTGTGCTAACATGAGAAAAAGACCCTGATGTTTCTTAGAAATATTAACTTGGATGTTGTATAGAAGAATGGATTTATAAAGAAAGGGGTTCTTAATGAACCAAATTACTTTAATTTTTCTTTAAATCTTAGAGCTGATTTTCTGTAGGAGTGACATTTCAAAAGCTTCATTAGTGTCCTCCAACAAATTTGCCGTGCATCTGAATCAATCCTTGTAAGAGTCAGGGGTGGTTAGTGGGGGTCCTTCCAACACTCTTTTGGATTCTACAATTTTGAAGTTGTGAAGGACCCTCAAGCTTTTTAACATCTGGAGTTACCTTTTCTTTGTTTCAAGTATATTTGGGTTGACAACCATCTTCCTCAGTTCGTCAGTTTTTCTTCTTTTTTTTCAGTGATTTCTTATCAACATTTTGAGCCAAAGAATGTCTTTATCATTTGATATTTGTTGTAGTGAAGAAAACAGAGTTTGTAAAACAAGAGTGGGAAGGGAAACTGGTTCCATTTCCATTATAAGTCTTTTTTGCTGGTGTTGATTTTAATGCAGCCATTTTGTTAGTAGTTTTCACCTTATTGTATACTGTTTCTTTTTTTTTTTAAAAATGAACAGTGTTCTTTTTTTCCTTCTCTGGACTGGCACAACTGTAACAGCTTTTAAATTTATCCATGTAAAACTTAAAACTCTCTTGAAGCTTTATCAAATTGGGGGTCTGTAATAAGTGAGGAATCATTTCTTTAAATTTTTCCAGGTTTTTTCTACCTCTCTCTCAGACTTCTCTGGGGTTTCCACAACCATTTTAGGAAATGCAGAAATTCATTAAGATATAGGCAAAGATCTGGCCAGTGTTGCCAGGTGAGGTAGTTACAGGTTTCTTTTCCACAGCTAAGGTGTATGGAAGTGGATTCTGCATTTCAACAGCTGGTTTCAGATGGGCCTTCTTCCCTGAGCAAGCTGTTGAGAAGTAACCAGATTCACTAATGCTGGTCTTTTTACTGAAATAATGACAAGCAGTTTCTACCCTTTGATGTCTTAACACTTTGGAATGGAACTGAAGAATTTCCATTCAGTTATGAAGTTGAACCTCCACTCCCTGCATAGTTGGGACTCAGAGCCACAATTTCCCTGACTTGGAGGAAATACAAATGGGATCTCAGCATGTAGCTAGGTATATCGGATACCATGGTCATAGCCCTTGTCTTCTACGGAGAGTATGTTCTCTTTTGTTACTAAATCTTCATTTGTTAGAGCTTGACAATCTTCATCAGTGAGCATGTGCCAAATGGGAAAGGTTGTGTCTTTCATGGGCTGTTGGACTCTTATCCTCAAATTCAATAGGGATTTTATCATAATATTTTGTGAACTTGACAATTTTGTTTGATTTCCTGGAAACCATAAAGACATTTTTTTATCCTGCTCTCCCACCCCCAATAGCCCTTAAAATGAGAAAATCAAGCAGTAACTCACTTTCTTTTGCTAGATTTGTACACTGTTTGGAGTACATTATTTACATTATTCGGACTATTGTCCTCATCTTTGTCACCATCTTTATTACAACGTTTTGGCCGTTGTACGCTCCAGCCTTCTTCAGGTGGTTGGAATGTTGAACTGAACCCTTTATTTTGCTCACTGGGGTAGACTGTTCTAGTTCCACGTGCCATGTTTAATGGATGTCAGTTATCAGTTATCTCCTGTTAATTTCCCTCTGAAAGTTCTCCACTGCTTTAACCAGGTATTGAATTCACATTCTTTGGTTCCTGTCACTGGATCTAACTAGCACCATTATCCACTGTGCCATGTGTCCTTGAGGACAGGAGATAACTGATAACTGACATCCATTAAACATGGCATGTGAAACTAGAACAGTCTACCCCAGTAAGTGAAATAAAGGGTTCAGTTCGACATTCCAACCACATGAAGAAGGCTGGAGTGTACAACAGCCAAAATGTTGTAATAAATATGGCAACAAATATGAGGACAATAGTCTGAATAATGTAAATAATGTACATAATACCTCATCTCAGAAATATAGACAGATACTTTTTGGAGTGTTGCATATATTTCATAAATCGATTGAACATGAGAGGGGGGTGTTCTAAGTATCTTGAGCTTCCACTTGTTATTTTTTCATTTGTAGTTCTTGGTATTTTATTCTTTTAGTTGATTCATTCATTTTCTCTTTTTTGTACCCAAAATGATTTTACAAGATATTAGAAATGATTTAAGCATAGGAATGTATTGGAAAATGGTTTTACTAAAGGAATGTATTGGAAAAGGATTTTGCTATAGAAATTTACTGAGAAAGTTTTGACTATAATATGGGAAAATCATTAGCAATGCATTACTGTTGTAAAACCATTTGCAATGCACTTCTATAGTAAAACCATTTGGAATACATTCCTATAGTAAAAATCATTTCCATTTGTTAGTTCTAATCTGAGAATAATGACATAAACACCCACACCCCAAATTTCTAGACAAATCATACTGGGATTTCTTTCTAACCAATAAAAATGGAGCGTGTCTTGGTCTCATCCACCATATTTTTGTTCTTTCTTGTCTTGAAGTCAGGACGCTACAATCACTTCACTGTATCCCTTTTGCATGCGAACCCAATTCTTATTTTGTGAACTTTTTGCATTGTTAATGTTACTTTGCCTAATTTTGTCTAGTATATATGATGCGTTTGGCAGAGGAGGGGTGTATTTAACATTTGATAATTTTGTGGCAATACGCACTTAAAGATTTTAGGCAGTTTTGATCAACATTTCTTTTTATGGTTAGCTGTAAGGAATTGAAAATGTAGGCCTACCTTACACTTAAGTAAAATAATAACAATAATAATATTTATTAAGAATTTGTTACATGAAATATTAAGTCTTAAAAAAATATTGTTGACAATTATGCATTTAGTTACATAACAAATAAATAAAAATAATATAAATTTTGATGCTATATTTGATATGTTAAGTATTTTTCATTTTCTTCTTTGGTATTGGCAGCATTTTAGAATACTTTGGCTGCAGTGCTAAGTTTCCTAAGTTGAACAAATTGGAGTTACTTTGTTTATGCTTTGTTACCCTTCTTTTCCATTGTTGTTTTTAAATTGCTTTCTTCTAGTTATTTTGATGGGCAATAGCAAAATTCTGAAATTTAGAATAATCTTATTCCATTTCAAAAATAAAACCTGTAAGAAGGAATAATTTAAATTAATGTACAACAAAAAATAAAATGCTTTTGTCAAAAAACCTTAATGATTTCACTATAATTATGTAACAATAATGTAATGATATTCCGCAGACAAATCTACGGTTTATGTTGCCTCATCTCATTGCATGGTTACAAACCATAAACCTAAATTGAGCTTGAAATATTGTGTAATCAGTTCTAATTTTTTGTAAAATATTTGAATGTGATATAATAAATAATTTGCTGTGAAAAAAGTAATTTTCAATTTTTTATTGAATATGCTGCTTCACAGAACGAGCCATATATTGTTTACTTAGTATTATTTTGCCTTGATCTTTTTTCTTCTTCTTTTTCTTATTGTTTATTGAGAACTTCAATAAACAATTCTATCTTTTGGACATTTTTGCGAATTACACTTAACCATGGTCAAGTACTCCACACTTTTGCATTTTACAGTCACTATAGGAATGTATTGAAAACGATTTCACTATAGGAATACACTAGAAACTATTTCACTATAGGAATGCACTAGAAACTATTTCACTATAGGAATGCACTAGAAACCATTTCAATATAGGGATGCATTAGAAACTATTTCAGTATAGGGATACACTAGAAACTATTTCAATATAGGAATGCACTAGAAACTATTTCACTATTGGAATGCACTAGAAACTATTTCACTATTGGAATGCACTAGAAACTATTTCACTATTGGAATGCACTAGAAACTATTTCAATATAGGGATGCATTAGAAAATATTTCACTATAGGGAGGCACTGCTGAGGTTTCACAATAAAAAAGATATTACAAAGTTCTAGGAACATAAATCTAATTATTACAGATAAAAAAACATGACAGACTTATTCCCCCCCCCAAAAAAAAACGGATGAATCTTCAACTGAGAAGAAAAAGGAAATTAATCACCAGCCGTCTTTGTGAGAAGATTTTAATGAAAAAAAAAAAAAAAAAAAAGTAACAAAACAAAAGTATTTTGAGACTCAAATCTTTCAACTGTTGTCATTTATTTGATCCAAGGAAGTTTAGTGGCAATTGGACCAAGATCAAAGCATGTCTATAGGTCAATGTACTTACTGACCCTATCATTATATTGCCCACCAACAAGTGCTTAAAAGATCAGTGGGGTTAGTGAGCTGCCACCTACTCTGGCACCCAGCCTAGTAAATGTAATATGTGAAGAAGATCTTTGTGTGTCCATATTGAATATGTGACTCTCATATCTTATAGAGTTACATGATCAAGTCAGTCATGTTGAAGTAATTGAAGATTGATGCTGAGTGTTTTGCACAAATGTCAAGATAGGGAAGTTCCTTTTCCCAGCAGAGGGAAATAATGGCAAAGTTGGAAAGCAAAGGAATGGTTAGAAAAAGAGAGAGTGGGAGGTGAATAGAGTAAAAAAAGAGTGGGGGAGGAGATAAAGATAAAAGAGGAGAGATACAAGAAAGAAAGATAAAAAGAGAAAATAAAAAGGACGAATAAGGGTGAAAAAGAAAGAAAGAAAGAGAGTGAGTGAGTGAGAAAAAACAGGGGAAGGCTAAGAAACAAAAGAGAAATAATGGAAAATTGAGAATAGAGAGAAAATAGGAAAGAGAGAGGGAAAATGAAAAAACAAGAGAGGAGGTTTAAGAAAAGAAGAGCAACAGTAAAGAAATAAGATATCAAAAAGAGAAACAAGCAGAGACAAGAATATATAGAGAGAAACGGGTAGAGACAAGAATAGAGAGAGAAACAGGTAGAGACAAGAATATATAGAGAGAAATGGGTAGAGACAAGAATATATAGAGAGAAACAGGTAGAGACAAGAATAGGGAGAGAAACAAGCAGAGACAAGAATATATAGAGAGAAACAAGCAGAGACAAGAATATATAGAGAGAAACAAGCAGAGACAAGAATATAGAGAGAGAAACAAGCAGAGACAAGAATAGAGAGAGAGAGAAATGGGTAGAGACAAGAATATAGAGAGAGAAACAGGTAGAGACAAGAATAGGGAGAGAAACAAGCAGAGACAAGAATATATAGAGAGAAACAAGCAGAGACAAGAATATAGAGAGAGAAACAAGCAGAGACTAGAGAGAGAGAGAGAGAGCGAAACATGTGGAGACAAAAATAGAAAGAGAGAGAAACAGGCATTGACAAGGATAGAAAGAGAGAGAAACAGGTAGAGACAAGAATATATATAGAGAGTGAGGTGTAGAAAAGAATAGAAAGAAAAAGAAATAGACAGGAACAAAAAGGGAGAGACAGGAACAGACTGAGACAAGAATGCAAAAAGAGAAAAACAGAGACAAGGATAGAAAGAGAGAGAAACAAGAAGAGAAAAGGATAAAAAGAGAGAAAATGGTGCCAGAGAGGAGAAAGAAAATGTAAGGGAGTAATCACAAGGAATGTAAAGGGTTATTTGTTGAAGCTAAAATCAAAGCCAATTCAGAGAATGTTGCAAGATGAAGAGGATGTGGAAAATAAAAGAAATTATATATTGTAAAATGCATAAAGGCTTCCTCAGGTGATCTTGCCATATAATACATTAAATATCTTTTGTCTGTACTTTTTTACTATATACAGCTATATTATTTGTTCTGGCATTTTATATAGTTAGATTTTAAAGACACACAGATGAAAAACTTACAATAAGAGTAAGGACTTAACAACATATGCAATCCTTTTTACATAACAGGCTACAAACACACACATATATATGTGCCCTATATATATATGTATATTTAGTTCTACTCTGTATTGAGCCCTCTTTTAAATTAAATGTTGTGGAATTACACACCATTTGTTCTCATTTTACCTGAAGATATATATATATATATATATATATATATATATATATATATATATATAGTTTCATAGTACACTATATTTATAGATTAAAGTGCTCAATATCAGGGATAGAGCATATGTAAATACAAAAGTGAACATTGATGTTAACACCCAGCAGCAACAGTCTGTTACATGATAATACGCAATCGGATGACCTGACAATTAATTGTGTATAAGTGTTGGCTTCAATATCCACTTTTATATATATAAGTTTGTTGGCCTCAATGTCCTCTTTTATATATATACATACACTAATGATGGCAACATTATACCTCAATTCATCTTCACACAGGGCCTCACGCTCAATATGGAGGCCTACATCAAGTGCCTTGAGGAGGTAGTACTGCCCTGGGTCAAGTGGGTGGCTGCTGGAAGTCCTTATCTCTGGCAACAGGACTCTGCACCATGCTACACAAGCAGGAAAATCCAGTCATGGCTGTCAGATAATTTCTGTGACCACATCACCCTTTACATCTAGCCACCTAACTGCAACCCTCTTGATTATTATGTACGAGGTGCAGTTGAGTGAGAGACCAACAAAATTCCTTGTAACATCAAAGATGAACTTACGGCAAGGATTATGGCAGTATTCACCAACTTAAACAAGGAGACTGTCCATAAGAGATGCAGGAGATTCTAAAGTCATCTGGAGGCTATGATTGAAGCCAATTGCAATTTAGTGGAGTAATGGATAGCAGCTTGGATTGAGGAATCAGAGAGCAGAGTTCAAATACCAGTTGAATCCATTACATTCACTTACATGCTAATACCCTTGGGAAAGGTATGAATCCTCTTCTTCTCTCCCCAGCTATGGGTAAACAGCAAGACAAACTGGGTTCTTTAGCCTTGGATGGCAACTGGTCTACCGCAGAAAGAAATGGCAACCTAATGCAGGAAAAAAATATGCTTCATCAGTCATGTATTGAAAGATACATGATCACCTAAGCATGTATTACACATAGCACATAACTCACTGAATATTTCTAGATATTTTTGTGTAATTTTGATAAATATATCTGTTAAAATGAGATGTCAGTGTTATTTTCATTTTTGCGTAATTTAGATGAAAATTTAAACATCGTACCATGTGTGTGTGTGTATATATATTATATAAATATAAAAGTGAACATAGAAGTCAACACTTTGAGGCGACAGTCTGTTTCATGCTATATGCAATCGTATATAGCATGAAACAGACTATCGCATCTAAGTGTTGATTTATGTTCACTTTCATATTTATCAACGCAATATCTCTGATATTGAGCACTTTATCCCATAAATATAGCACATCTTAAGACTATATTTCTTCATATATATATATATATATATATATATATATATATATATATATATATATATATAAAAGCTGTTACAATCTAATGAAAAGAAAACAGAAACTGATTGAACAGAAGCCTTTAATAGAAGAACTTTAGGTCTGAACAACAGAAGAAAGCAATTAAGAAATAAATTATGTATGTCATGCAGAACTAATCAGTGCCACAAATTTATTAGTGGCAGTTGTCATTTCTAATCAACACTGACAAAATTCAAATTGTGAGCGGATTTTGACCATCAGAGATTAAGAGACCTGGAAAGTTGTTATAAAAAGAAATGCTAAAATTAAAAAAAAACCCAAAACCAAAAATTAATAGTGACAATTCTTTATCTCCGAATTCAGATAATTAAAGTTATTTGGAGGTTGTAAAATCAAAACAATGTGTTGTGAAGATTTGAAGTAAACTGGTGGCAATAAAAAAATGCAGATTTGTGCCCCACCTAGTCACAGAGGGGAAGATAGTTAAGACCTTTTAAGATTTACTTATCATTGTAAAAAAATATATGTATAATGATGATAGCCAGGGTGAGGACACTTGTCCAATCTATGATAATAAAATTCAAGGAATGTATTAATAATGATAGTGGTAAAATTAGTTGTTTCCTTATAAGGAAACATTCAGCATCTTTTGACCGAGCAACTAGTGCTACTTAAGTTATACTTTTTTTCACTCCTTGGCAATCAGTCTGGGATCAAAGTGTAGTATCTGTTCTGACCAAGCAATTACAGTTGAAATTTATAAAATCTTTTTCTTGAAACAATTTTTCAGGAAAATAGGTTTCTCAGATCTAGTAGCTTTTATTGCTCTTTCCAGTACTGATGGGAGTTTCCTTCCTAACCTTTTATTAGAAGTAGTGTGGAATGTCAACATCTTGATTATGTCATTATTCTTTCTGAGTTACATGTGATATCCATTTTAGTTGTTTTTGCTATTGACAGTCCCCAAGTGATGTTTTTGTTATCTGGCAAAGTTCTTTGATTGTGATTCTGCAGTGCCAGACCACAAGGTTCAAAGAAGTGTAGTCTTCACCAAGGCCCATAGGCTTCACTTGCTCAAAGCCATTTTTAACCATTGATCTTAGAAAGTGGTTGTATACAGGTGATAGATTAGATATTATTGCATGGCCCATACACCAATATACAGGGTGTAACATAATGATGGGACACGTTTTAAATGCAAGTAACTTGGATTATAAAAATGACAGAGTAGCAAATATATTTATTACATAACTTATATACAAGAGTTCAAAATATTATCTAAGATTTTCCTATTTCCTACAGGTATCTGATATCTCTTTTTCTGACAGTGGCCCCTGACAATATTGTGGAAGAAATTACAAATGTGCATGTTCTCTTTGTGGTGGTGACTATCTCTGGTATGTGATATTCAAATCTTAGATAATATGTTGAACTCTTGTATATCAGTTATTTAATAAATATATTTGGTACTCTATGTCATTTTTATAATCAAAGGTGCTTGCATTTAAAATGTGTCTCTTCATTATGGCACACCCTGTATAACAAAGTTATAAGTAGACTATTTACATTATTTACAATTGGGCTAATGTCCTGATTTTCATTCTTACCATCAAAACATTTTAAACCATTGTGCTTTGGCCTTTGTTAGATGCCTTTTATCTGAGTGGTATTCAGGGAACTGAATTCTTTATTTAATCTATCAGGTCATCCCATAAGTTCTGTCCAAATTTTAACTTTTGTTAAAATGAACAAAATTTAAAGAGTATTTTATAATGTCTAATGGAGCTGAACATTATTTTTATGTTTAGATGCATTTAAATTGATCAAATTTTATTTCAGAGAACAATAAAATTAAATTTTGTTTGATTAAAACCCTGATAACATGGAAGTACCCAAGAATCATTTGAGGCACATAATGCTTTATGAGTTTAAGAAAGGAAACTCAGCAGCTGAAGCAGCTAGAAACATTCACTCAGTTTATGGAGAGGAATGTGTGAATGAAAGAACTTGCAGAAGATGATTTGCAAAATTCAGAGGTGGAGATTTCACCCTTGAAGATGAAGATCGAAACAGATGTCCAGTTGAATTTGATAAAAAGCTTCTTGAAGCAGCCCTTGAAGAAAATCCTGCTTTATCAGTTGAGGAATTGACAGTGGTTCTCAGTTCAAACCATACAACTGTTCATCATCATATTCAACAACTTGGAAAAGTTGCTAAACTTGGAAAACGGGTGCCTCATGAATTGTCTGAAAATAACCTCAAATACCGAGTTGATATCTGCTCTTCTCTCCATTCTCACCAACTTGTTTCACCTTTTTTGGATAGACTTGTGACAGGAGACGAAAAATGGATCTTTTATTGAAATGTTAAGCATTGTAGACAGTGGCTTGGTAAAGGGGAAGGACCCCAGCCACAGCTAAGAAGGGAACTTCATGGGCAAAAGGTTCTTCTTTCAATCCGGTGGGATCGCCAAGGAATAATCCACTTTGAATTCTTACCACCTAATGCAACAATTAATGCTCAAATATACTGTCAGCAATTAGAGTATTTGAACCAAGCTTTGAGGAAAAAAAGACCTGTTCTCGTGAATTGAAAAGGGGTGATGTTTCATCAGGACAATAAGCGACCCCACACAGCAAGAATCATGTCACAAAAGATCAAAGAACTTGGTTGGGAGAAAATTCCTCATCCACCTTATTCTCCCGATCTTGCTCCTTCAGACTACCATTTGTTTCGTAGCTTACAGAATCATTTGGAAGAAACAGCTTTTGTAACACAGGAAGAGGTTAAAACTGACATTTGTGAGTTCTTCGAATCAAAGCCAAAAGAATTTTACAGTAATGGAATTAGTAAGCTTGTTAATAGATGGAAGGAAGTCATAGATAATCAGGGAAAATACATTGTTGATTGAATCTGTAATTAAATGTAACATTTGGTCACTTGTTTTCTTTATTCAAAATTTGGATAGAACTTATGGGATGACCTGATACAAAGGTAGGTTGTTCGTATTTCACTGTCCATATCTCATTTAATTCTTTTAATAAGGCTCAATTATTTTAGTCCTGTTTCTACTGAGTTTGAGTCAGTACTACTTAGCCAGGGGATTGAACTCACAATTACAATGTCACCAAATTCAATCCCTATTTTTCATCCCTGAAATTTAGACAGAAAAGAAGTACATTCTCAGAATAAAGAATGGTAATGTTTTCTAGATAATTTTACCAGTTTTAGCAATCGTTTATTTGATTTGTATAGCCTGTCCCATGATTTGAAATCATGTATCACTTTTCATGATTGATGTAAGTTCTTTTTATTATAAGGCAAAGCTTTCAGACAAAATCCGATATTGATGCTTGGTGGGAATGAAATGGAAGAATAAGGTGAGAAAAATTTGGGAAATGACAATAGAAATGGACAGAAGAGAGAAATAAATTTTGGAAATGAAAATATGGAAGATGTATATAAAATACTGAAGGCTGTGAATAGAAAAGAAACAAAAGAAAAAAAGCATAAGTTTTTTAAGAGGACAAAGATAAAATAGAAAAAAAGAAAGAAGGAATAAGAAAAAAAAATGGAAAAAAAAGGTAAAACAAGAAAAAGGAATGAAATGGTAATGAGACAAGAGTAAAATAGAAAAAAATATGAAAAAGAAGGAATAAAAAGGAAAAAAAAGAAAAATGAAGAAAACAGGAAAAATAAAAGAAAAAAGGAAAAAACAAAAAAGAAGAAAAGGGACAAAAGAAGAAAAAGGAAAAGAAGAAAAAGGAAGAAAAGGAAAAAGGGGAAAAAAGAAGAAAAAGAAAAAAAGAAGAAAAAAGAGAGAAAAGGAAAAAAGAAGAAAAAAGAGAGAAAAGGAAAAAAGAAGAAAAAAGAGAGAAAAGGAAAAAAGAAGAAAAAAGAGAGAAAAAGAACAACAAGAAAAAAGGAACAAGAAGAAAAAAGAAAAAAGGAAAAAGAAGAAAAAAGGAAAAAGAAGAAAAAAGGAAAAAGAAGAAAAATGAAAAAGAAGAAAAAGGAAAAAAGGACAAAGTTTTTACAAGGTCAAAGATAAAATAGAAAAAGAGAAAGAAAGAATGAGCAAAAAATGGAAAAAAAGCAAAGGTAAAAGTGAAAAAGGAATGAAATGCTAATAAGACAAATGTAAAATAAAAAAAATATGAAAAAGAAGGAATAAAGAAAAAAAGAACAAAGGTAAAATACAAAATAAAAAAGAAGGAATAAAAAAACAAAAATGGAAAAAGGCAAGAATAAAATAGCATAAAAGAAAGAAAACAAAAAATAAAACAAATAAAAATGTATAAAAATCAAATTAAAAAAGAAAGAATGAAAAAAAAGAAAACATGGAATAAAATAATGAGAGGAACTTTTTTCTTTCCAATATTAATACAAAGAACTCCACATGTACATTTTATATATATATATATGTGTGTGTGTGTGTGTGTGTGTGTGTAAAAATGTCAGATAGAATATATCTGTAAAAGGACAATATGAATAAAGACAAAAGGAAAAGTTATGCACTTCACGTCCATGCACTTGCCCCACTTTTTCGCTAACCTGATAAATATTAATGAGCACCCCTATACCAAAAATTTTGAAAAACCAATAACAATTTTGTTGTTGAATATAAATACTTGTCACTGAATAAAATCCTTACATTTGCTTTTATAAAGTCCCTCAGAGGACAAAGTGTATTGGCTAAGATAAGTTTTCCTTTTCTCTCTCTCTTTCTATATATATATATATATATATATATATATACATTTTTTTTTTTTTTTCCTTCCTATCCGAATTGTCTGTGGTGTGTATATGTCACCACGAAATGTATCTTTATGTATTAGACATCCGTCGACTTTCTTTCTCTCTCTTTTTAAATCCACCCCACCCACATCTCCAAAAATTCTCTCTGTTAAGGTTTCATGTCACTCATCCTCATACTTACACTTTCTCTAAATTCTGTTTTGATTTCGGAGTTGTTTTTTTCTGTTTTCATTTTGAATTTGTAGGTCTGATGATTTGGATCGTATTTTTGATTCCATTGGAATAAATTATGACCATGGAATATTAGTGTTTAAACCTTTTATTATATCCTTACTCTGTCCTAGACATTGAGTTCTACCTGGATCCTTCCTCTTGAAAATTTTTTCTGAAAATATACATGTATGGGAATTTTTTAGATATATTTTTCATATGTATGTATATTTTCCACTAATATTATCTATATATATATATATATATTTACTGTTCTTTCTTTTTATTTATATATATATATATATATATATATATATATATATATTTTTCTTTTTTTTATTTATATATCCATATATATATAATTTTCTTTGAGGTACAGAATTTTATCATGGAAATAATAAAGTCTGTTAGAACTTGACGTTATTTCAATCTAGATTGTTCTGCCTTTAGTATTGCTCATTATATGTCTTTTATATTTTACATTGTGATATTTATTCTCTTGATTCCAGCTCTGTTGGGTAAGGGCGAAACTGATCGGCTGCTTTTTTTTTTCTTTTTTTTTTATCATGAAGGGTAAAATTGGTCTTACCTTTTTTATTTCCATAATAATATATATATATTTATTAGATAAGAAATTACTTATCCAGTTTTGTCAACTGGTCTTGTGCTTCTGCTATATATTCCCAACAAAATCCAAAGAAGGGACTGTAACAAGAACAGTCTACGGATTAAATAGATTAAATAGAAAGTTCAGTTCAGAAATCTCTGTAGGTTACTCAGATTGATATAAACTTGATGGAGGACTAAGGGTGCAATGGCCAAAACAAAGATGAGGACAATAGTTTGAATGCAAATAGTGTGAGTAATATTGTTCATACAACTTATTAAAACAATCATAAAAGCATGAAAGTAAAAACTTAAACCAACCATGGTAATTACTGTTTCCTGTTTGAGCCGTGGAAGTGGGGAGTGTGAAATTAATAAGTGAGGTAATGTTAATCAGCATGATGTAGGGGTTAAAAAAATAAACATTTCCTTCTATTAGGTACTAGCAGTAGAGCCCGGCATTGCCCGGGGATGTAACAGTAAGAGATAGATCAAGTATCGATCATCATATGCGTGTCCGTCAACCTTAAACAATAATCTTTGTCAATTTTATTTTTCAGTCTTTATGATGATCGATAGTTGATCTATCTCTTACTTTCTATTTAATCTATAAAGAAAAAAGTGTGCAAGACAATAAGAAACACTACCTGCCAAAAAAAAAAGTGAAGTTTTGTTGAAATCGGTTGAAAAATGTAGGAAATCCGATCCCATATATAAATGAACACACACACAAACAACCAACTTGGGTTTTATAATAAGTATAACTCGATAACTTGATATTAATAAGTATAACTCGATATGAGTTGTCCCCCTTTCATTAATGCCTCTTAATTGAGTTTTCAAATTGATTTTGTGCAAAAACAATTGTGTTTTTCAATTTTTCGGCGCTGTCAGAACCACATAAAAGGTAATTTTACGTAGTCCTGTAAAGTTTTGTTGAAATCGGTTGAAAAAAGGAAATCATCCAATATATAAACGTACACACACACAATCTGCTTTTTATAATAAGTAAGATTTAAGATGACTTTCTTGAGGTAATCATGTGGTATTCTGATAGAAGCTCACAGCAAAGAATTCTCTTCCAATCTTGTTCCTTTTTTCTCCTTGTTCCTTTTTTCTCTTTTTTCTTCTTTTTTTTCTTCTTTTTTTCCTTTTTACTTTATTTTTCCTGTTTTCTTCATTTTTTCTTTTTTCCCTTTTTATTCTTTCTTTCTCATATTTTTTTCTATTTTACTCTTGTCTCATTACCATTTAATTCCTTTTTCTTGTTTTACCTTTGTTTTTCCATTTTTTTGCTTATTCCTTCTTTCTCTTTTTCTATTTTATCTTTGACCTCTTAAAAACTTTGTCTTTTTTCCTTTTTCTTCTTTTTCCTTCTTTCTCTTTTTCTATTTTATCTTTATCCTCTTAAAAATCTTTTGCTTTTTTTATTTTGTTTCTTTTCCATTCACAGCCTTCAGTATTTTAATAATAATAATATAAACATCACTATCTACTTTGGCTTATTTCATTTGCTATCTCTTGTATTCTAAGTTGCAAAGTACCCTCTTTTAAAAAGTCAGAACATTTTCAATATATGGAAGCTACACTTCAAATCAACTAACTACACCAAATTGGTCCAAGTGGTTTTCATTGGTTCATTTTGGTATTTTTATTATGCTTAATATCTTATATTAACACTGATTTTTTTCCTTTGTTCATAGTCATTATTTTTTTAAAAAGAAACAATTCTTAAAATTTTATAAGAATTTAGAAGTGTGTTTCCTACTTGAAAGCCCTCCTTCACAACCATAACATCGCAGATTGGATCTTTATTATAAATGGATGAACCTGACTTTGTTGGAAAGTGGTTAAGATGTTTCACAGCCAATGCTAGATCAAAGAAACTAAAAGTCAACAAAACAGGCGGAGGTAAAAATGAAATCAGATTTATTTTTAGTTACAGCATGGTGAGAAGCAGTCATAAAAATCTCATTAATGGCACATCAAAAAGAATTGGAAGACTTATTCAAGTCACACACATAACAACATTAAAAAAATAACAAAAACAAATATTTAAAAGAACAAAGACTATTTATAAATGAATAAAAAAGTTTTAAAAATCATTTTAAAACATTCAAAGCAAAAATACAATAAAAATAATTTTGAATAAATGAAAAACGCAACAAGTGAAGCATATTTTAAATCTCTAACTAGTAAATTTATCAATCCCTTATATTTTAAAACTTTATATTTCTAAAAACAAATATTAGTGAGTTTTAAAAATCTTCACTGAAATAAAATCACAAAAAAAAAGAACTAATTATATCAATGTCACTCTCCTGGTTGACGTTATGTAATTGGACACAAGTTACCTCCCTTGCTGCACTAAATTAACCATAGTATTTCTCATTAATTTTCCTGACTTGTTTCTTGAAAGAATTTTTTTATCTTCTCAAGGAGAGGTTGCTAGGGACAAGTATCTTGCGGCCTTGGATTGATTTAAGCCCAAATTAATCGGGCTGGGAGGGGTCAAGTGAAAAAATAAATTGAATCATAGAAAGAAAAAAAAGCAACAGACAGGAAAAAACGAAAAGTGAACAGCCTTTAGTTGTCTGAATTTTCTAAAAAACATATTGTCATTACTTTGTCATAATTATTAATTCCTGATGTCTGTTTCTTCCATCATTACCTTTTTAAAAATTTTTTTGGCAGAATTCTTTGGCTGTTTTTAAATTTATTAACATAGTACCCATAAAAAATAATGAAATTATTTACATTATAGTGGGTCAGCCAATTTGTATTGGTTAGAAATAGAAATTAAAACTGACCCTCTACAATTTTTACAATATCAAATGTAACAAAGACAACAACAAGAGAAATAACCAAGTAGAAGGTAAAGAAAGCAAACAAAACAAGACCGATAATATATGTATATACAAATATATATTAATAACAAGTTACAATACATGGAAACAGTACAAAGGACGAAGTGTGTGTGAATATTCTGTATGTGCGTGCGTGTGTGAATATTCTGTGTGTGCGTGCATGTGTGAATATGTGCTTAGCGTGTTTCCACGCTATCCCTTGTTAGCGACTACATTTCGAGGTTGATAGCTGAAAATCCTCAAGGAATAAGAGAGTTTACCTCAAGGTGTCAGTGCACAGGCCTGAAGGGAAAAAGAGATAGAGGCGAAGGGTCATTGGCTATTTATAGCCAGGAAAGAGAGACCCCTGGTGAAAGGGTTAACGGAGTGAAAGGAGGAGATAACTCCGACAACATATGGATCAGCACTTTTGTCTAAAATCAGAGAGTATTTGTGAGCTCTGCTGAAGATAAAAGTATTTTCTTTATAGCACTTTCTGACTTACAATTCAGAACATCTGGCATTTGTAGTGGCTCCTTAGACAGCAAAGTTTTCTGGTCATTGCTCTTAAAGGAGAGAATTCAAAAACAGAAAAGCTCTCCAGAAAGAAGACAAGACTGTGTTCTGTTTTTTAGAACATTTTACCTATGGCCTATCTGTTAGCTGAAAAGTTACCTATTTTGCAACTGTGTCAGAAGTCAGTGTTCAAATCCATTGTAATAGTGAAGATTATAAAGTCTGAAATTTTATTCTTGCTGGTCCTCATAACCTGGACTCAGAAGAACAGTCTTCCTCACTCCTCACTTACTCCCATTTAACTGTAAAGTAGTTAAACTTAG